TAATGCTACCTGAATAAACTTGCATAGGCATAATTGTGATATACATTTATATCATATATCTAATATTCAAAAGAATATCATATCGATATAACTTGGTAAATGTCCGGAGATGCTCCTAAAATTTTTATATATTGTACCATGTGACAATTAGCATCACATGGTTTCGTCAGGCATCACTAGATCCAATACAATTTTCTTACTATGCACAGTTATATTTACTTTAGCAACGTACATAGGTACTTAAAATGGTATGCACTTATAAATATTTTGAGTAAAAGGCTAACGTAACACATATTTTGCCATTTCATCAAAATACGAGCTGAAACTCGGATAACAGTATTAATTTTTTTGCATAAACATATTATCTGAATCGGTATCGGTAAATCAGTTTTCAAGAATACCGATCTAGTCATTTATGAATGAGGTTTATCGGTTGATTGCAATTTGTATCAGCATTGACATCTACTGATTATAATAACGCATAAAAATAGTATATCCTTTTATGAAAAATTAACCTTTACAGTTTGTATTACTTGATTAGAGATGCGGAAATAGAAATTTCCCATAATATGCTGTTCATTCCAAAGAATATATCACTAATGATATAAACAGAAAATAACAGCCTAGTTTATTTTATAATTGAACCCCTTGAAAAACGCGCTTTAGTATCTTATATATGCACTGACTGAATGTGGAATAAAAAAGTTGTATTCATTTTTTTTATAAATAAAGCTGATTTCCCCAAGATTTTATTGACATGTCCCATACAAGAGAATATAGTTTTGCAGTCGTAACAAAAGACGACTATTTGAGAATGCAGCAACAAAGTCGAAAACGTAACAACAATAATATTGAAGCTTTGCAAGCCACTGGGTATAATGTCTTTTCTGTTGGGACTTCTCACAACTCTAGCTCTGAAATGTTGACTTCCACTGACACCGAATATTGCACAACAATTTCAAGCGATTCATTTGATTTTTTTTCCTTTAACGATTTGAAAGATTATATTCATCGATTAGGATGTTATATTCAGCGGTTAGAAGAAAAAGAAAGAGAACGTGATCAAAAAGATAATGAGCGTGATCGAAAATTGGAAGTTGCATTGAAACGCGTTCAGGAATTAGAAGAAAACTATAAAAATTATGGAACTAATAGTCTTCGGCAGTTCTTAAGTGCATTAATAAATGGGTTGGTCTATGCCCGTAACCTTCAAAGTTAAAAAAAAAAAAAGAAAGAAAGAAAATGCTGATCATAATTTTTATCATAATTTTTTTACTCCTTTTTTAACGATATATATTTTAAAGCTGCAGAACAAATAAAGTTAAAATGATGTATATATTGTATATAATGTCAAAAAAATTTTAGCCTCATGTAGCATATTACCTAAAAGTAAAAAGGATATATAGTAATTAATCATATTATTTCACTACAATAGCATGATACAAATAATTACTGTAATTTTGCTAGAATATTCTAAAGGATTCGCTTCTTTAATAAAAATATCGATTTGAGCCGCAACTAAGCACACTTAATATTGTTTTGCTTCCTAAAATTATGATAAGTTATCGTGCTTTAGAAAACTAGATATTCGGAATCATTTTGTGCTTACCGAAATTCCTTAAAAATGGTTTGATAACTTTGCCATATTTTCAGAGTTTCATTCTGAATAAATCTTCATTTATTTAATCAGTGTTATTCACAAAATTACTAACACAATACCAATATTGTTATTTGTTAGTTGTAGTGAATTGAATGCTCGCTTGCATTTAAAGAGAATTTCATTTTTTTATATATATTTATAAAATATGATTTAAAGCAAAAGTGATAATATTACAGGAAGGAACTAAAGAACTACTTTTTATATATTTTTTTAGATAATGTTTAAATTTCTGTACAGAATGAAAACGCCGAATTCCGTAAACAATATTATCCTATTTGGATTGTACTCTACTTAATTTACTGGGATAGCTCGAAATCAAGACGAATAATTTCAAAGTTGACACCGTGCTGAACTTTGTGTTTAAAATCATTAGCTAATTGCACAAATGAAAGAACAAAAGACTTTGTTTCTTTTGGTATCACAAACAACTTTCTGTGTATCAGGTATGTATTATACATACGTACGTACGTACAGTCGGCTCCAAAGTTTGTCACTGTAACACAAAACTAAAAAAACAAATTGATTCAATACATCTACCCTATAAGAAAAGTGGTGGTACGGGTTGGTTTCGGGAATGCACGAAATGGAAAGGATATGTGGCACGCACAGACACGTTTTACGGAATGGCACGGACATTACGGCAAGGGTGGCACGTTATATCACGTCATAGGAACGGGATGAGTGTACGTTGCACATCGTTTCGCAGAGAACGAAAAATCAATAAATGATTTTTAAAAAGTGCAATATCACATTATTTCAATGATGAAGCTGCTCTAAGTATTTTAATAAAAAAAGTTTCTTACAAAATTTTCTCATATGCAGTTAGTTTGTTCATATTATAATGATCACTGATGTAAATTTATGTTTTTAATCCACATGTTTGTATTTGTTATCGTGAATTTACGTACCAAGTCCCGTGCCGATCGACTAGTAAATTGCTGCAAAATCCGAGCCATTTACGGTCCAATTGGCACGGGCATACGATTCCACACGGTCCACTGAATCAGTACCATACCCGTATAAATCCGGATCTTGACCCTACGTTCTTGGAAATGGCCTTCGATGCTAACATTGTTCTTCAACATTTTCAAATATTCTCAATGAGATTCAAATTTGTCGATTGCGCTGACCGTTGATGTCTTCGCTTCTCATGTAGGGATAGGCAAAATTATTACACATTCTTACCTAGTATTACTAGAGTTCCAATCTATTAACCATTTATCCGGATAACTATCAGATATCCGGATATCCATTTATTATCCGGTTACTTTTGATATCCGGATAATTATCTATCAGATTATCCGGATATCTGAGCGTTCTGAATTATCCGGATAATTAGATATGGACAAACAGATGACAGATTTATCCGGATTGGAACTCTAAATATTACTTACAACTACTTTCATAATTCCTGGAACACCTGATAAAAATTGACCGAATGATTTTTCGGCCGATCCGGTTAAGTTATATATT